TTTGGGCAAATTACTTCTCTAGGCTTTTGTTTCCCAGTCTACACAAATGAGACGAACTCATGGTTATGTGGACTAAGTAAAAAGTTGTAGGTACAAAGCTCTCTGCCTGGTGCTGGTAGTGGGGTGTGCTCACTAATTTCTAGCCATTGCTATTGTTATTCTCAGAGTGCCGAAACACTTTCATGAATGCTGTTTCACCTGATCTTTTGCAAAAGGACTGTACATGTTTTAATTAATTTAATCTTCTATATAGTTTTATTAAGAACACACTTTTTTGGCCTCAATTAAGAATTAGCCATATAATTAATAAGTGATAGAGGCAAGATTTAAAGAGAGTCTGGTTTCAGAGAACACTCTCTTGATCACTGTATAGAAATATTATTCCAACCCAGAGTGTAGGCTCTTCTGGTCTTACCCTTCCTATGAGAGAGGGGTTATTGTCTCCACTTCATAAATGAAAGCAGTGAGAATCAGAGCAATTAACTGAGCTGACAAGTCATAGGATCACTGAAGAGGGAATTCTGGTCTCTTGGCTCCAGTGGCAGTGCCTGGGAGTGCCAGAATGAATAGCACAGTATCACACACAACAGCAGCAATAGCAGCGGTGCCCGCAGCAAGTACAATGACACATTTCCTACACACTTGCTCTCATTTAACACGCACAACAATTATGGCCTCTGGGTTCTATCATCAACTCCATTTCAGATGAGGGGACCAAAGTTCAGCCGGATCAAGGAAGGTGTTCAGGGGCATAGAGTTAGGGAGTAATGGAGTTGGGTGTCCCCTTGGTCTACCATGCCCAAGCTGTGCCTCAGCTTCTGTGCTGTCATCTCCTGTGGCACTTAAGCAGAACCCCTAAGAACAACTGGCAGCACTTGCCTGATCAATGTAGCCAGCAGAAGGAGGACAACTTATTTTTCATAGATTTTTTTGGGATTTTTCTGTGCATATAATCATGCTGCCTAAAAAAGGAGACAGTTTCATTTCTTATTTTCCAATGAGCATGACCTTTATTCCCTTTTCCTGCCTTATTGCAGTGGCTAGAACTTCCAGTACTGTGTTTAATAAGACTGATAAAAGTAGAAATCTTTGCCTTGTTTTGGATCGTATAAGGCAATGTATTCTGTCTTTATCATGAAATACGATGTCTGATGTAGTTTTTTAATAGATGTTCTTTATGAGGTTGAGGAAGTCTCCCTCTGTTCCTAGTGTACTTGAGAGGATTTTCTATTTTCATCATTAATGGGTGTTGAATTTTGTTAAATAATTTTTTGATGCCAATTTTTATGATTATATGGTTTTTCTTCTTTAGCCTGTTGCTATGATAAATTATATTAATTTCTTATCAAATATTGAATCAGCTTTGTCTACCTGGCATAAATCTCACTTGGTCATGGTGTTTTAGTCTTTTTATACATTGTTGGATTTTGATTAATTAAATTTGATTGGTGATTTTTACATCCAAAGTTCATGAGAGATATTGGCCTGTAGCTTTCTTTTTGCATACTTTCTTCAGCTGATTTGGGTATCAGAGTAATGATGGCTTCATAAAAAGAACTGGGAACTTCCTAATTTTCTCTTCTCTCATATTTTCTGGAACACATACATAGAATTGGCATTAATCTTTATTTGAATGTTTGGTAAAATTCTTGGATGAAATCATCTGGGTCTGGAGATTTCTTTTTTGGGAGTATTTTTATTATAAATCCAATTTTTAAAAATATCTACACAGTTATTCTGATTATCTATTTTACCTTGGCTAAGTTTTAGTACTTTGTGGTTTTTGAGGAATTATCCCATTTCTTTGAACTTGTTGAATATATGAGCATAAAGTTGATTATAGTTCTTAAATTATCTTTTTAGTAGCTAAAGACACCTATTGTGGTGTCCCCTATTTTGTTTCTGATGTTGGTGATTCATGTCTTTTCTCTTTTTATATTTGCCAATCTTGCTAAAAGTTATTAATCTTATTAATTCTTTTAAAAAATCAACTTTGTTTTATTTTTTCTTTTTCCAGTTTTCAAGTTCATTAATTTCTGCTTTTTATTTCCTCCTTTCTGCTTCCTTTGAGTTTATTTTGCTCAACTTTTCTAATTTCTTGAAGTAGAAACTTAGATTAGTAATTTGAGATCATTCCTCTTTTCTAATGTAAGCATTTACTCCTATCAATTTTATTCTCAGCACTGCTTTAGCTAATCTTACAAATTTTAACATGTTGTATTTTCATTTTCATTCTTTTCTTGTCTTTTTAAAATTTCCTGTGAGGTTGCCACTTTGATGCATGGATTATTTAGAAGTTTGTTGTTTAGTTTCCAAGTGTTTGGAGATTTGCCTATTGACATTCTGCCTTGATTTCTACTTTGATTTTATTATGGCCAGGTAACATAGCCTGTATAATTTCAATTCTCTTGAATTTTTTAACATTTGTTTTATGATCTAAGATATGCTCTATCTTGGTAAATGTCTCACGGGACCTTTAAAAAATGTGTATTCTGCTGTTGTTGGACAGACTGTGCTATGAATGTCAATGAGATCCTGTCAGTTGATGGTGTGGTTAAGTTTTTCTATATTCTTGCTGATTTTCTTGCTAGTAGTCCTAGAAGTCCTGAGTGCAGGGAGACAGCAGGGATTGATGCCCAACCACACTTGTGGATTTCTTCTTTCAGCTGTCTTAGTTTTTGCCGCAGACATGTGAAAGTCTGTTGTTTAGGTTCATAGGTACGTAGAGAAAATGCTCACTAACTGTGTTTTTCTTTTACTATCACACCACAATCTTCACACAGAAGAAAGGCCCAGTGACTCATGGGAAACTACTATATTAAAAACTTGGAGCTAATGTTTTAAATTAATCAGAAAAAAATACAAAAGTCAGAACACTGCACCAACAGATAGAGCCCTGTGCCTTTATAAAAGAAAAAAAAAAAATACTGTTCTATACCCTTTCCCTCACCTTAAAGATAATCCTCTGGTTTTCTCTTAAGTAACCAGAGAGTGGTTACCCCACCTCACAAAACAAACAGTCCTATTTGCTGAATATCTTTTGTCTTAAAGATACAGCTTGGGAAAAAGTAGACTGCATTTAACACAATTTATGTCATTCCTTTTTTGTGCTTTGTATGATATAAAGAAAGGTTTCTGTGTTGATGACTGTCATGGTGTGACAGTAGAAGAAAAACACAGTTAGGGAGAGTTTTCTCCACATATCTGTGAACCAAACAACAGACTGACACATATGTGAAGCAAAAACTAAGACAGCTGAAAGAAGAAATCCACAATTGTGGTTGGGGCATCAACCCCTGCCATCTCCCCACACTCAAGACTGCTAGGCCTACTAGGGAGAAAATCCGCTAGAATATAACAGCGGACACCTGTTGGGTGTCCTCCAATTCAGTTCTGACACTATCTACCCAGAGAGAGAGTCAGATCCCACAGGTTGAAGGTTTAGCCCCCAAGACTGCCCGCTTACACACACCAGTTGTAAGTCTGGCCCCCCAGAACCTCTGACCCCACCAGCTTCAAGGTGGGGTTCCCATGACCCCCTCTTTGGGTTTGATTAATTTGCTGGAGCAGCTCACAGAACTCAGAGAAACACTTACCTATGTTTACAGATTTATTACTAAAAAATATTGCAAAGGAGACAGATGAAGAGATGCCTAGGGTGAGGTATGGGGAAAGGGTCACGGAGCTTCCATGCCCTCCCTGGGAGCACCACACTCCAGGAACCTCCACATGTTCAGCTATCTGGAAGCTTATGAACCCTGTCCTCTTGGCTTTTTATGGAAGCTTCATGATGTCAGCATTCCTTCCCCCAGGATATAGGATGGGACTGCCTTGTGGGAGGGTCTTAAGATTCACAATCAGAAAGGCAGAAAGGTGGGAGAACATTAGAGTGAAAGGAAGGCAGGAGAAGGTCAGAGGCCTGCCCCGAGGCCTAACACCCCCAACAATCTTGTAAGACTCTAACACAGGATATGGGAGTTATGAGCTAGGACCCATGGATGAAAACCAAAATGTATCATAACATCACAACAGGATAGCTATATCTTCTTGGTGAATTCATTCTTTTTGTTATGATGTAATTTCCCTCTTTGCCTATAGTAACTTTATTTGCTCTGGAGTCTGCTTTTTCTGATGTTAATATAGCCACTTGTGCTTCCTTCTGATTAATGTTTGCATATTATATCTTTTTCCATCAATTTGCTATCAGTCTACCTATATCATTGAATTTGAAGCGAGTTTCTTGTAAACAACACATAGCTGGGTCATGTTTTGTAATACACTCTGCCAATCTCTGCATTTTTAATTGATGCATTTAGAATATTTACATTTAAGATAATTGATATATTAGGGCTAAGTCTGATATTTTATTATTAATATTTGTTCTCTGATCCTTCTGTTTATCATGTTTTTGTTTCTTTTTTCTTGCCTTCCTATTGTTTACTTGGACATTTTTTAGTGTTTCATTTTGATTTAATTGTTTTTTTTTTTTTTCAGCATATCACATTTGTTGTTTCCTTAGTGCTTATTATGTTTGGAAACTCTGTAGATGGGCAGCCTTCCATGATGGGGAGGAAGCTGCAGAGCCTGGGTCTCTTTATGCCACTGGATGGAGTCTGGGGAGACACAGCGCGCTTCACGGTGGCTGCTTCTGTGGGTGAATCAGGCCATGTGCTGGTGGCCAAGTCGTGGACTGGGGGCCAGGACCGCCCAGGGCTTTGCTGCTACTACTATTGCTGCTGCTGCTGCTACTGCTGCTGCTGCTGCTGCTGCTGCTGCTGGCAGATGAATCTCTCTGCAAAGACCCTGGGTTGTACAAAACAGGGGCTAGAGCTTCCTACTGGGTCTCTGTTGGGGTTCCCCTTCCCTGAACTTTGGCCAAAGAGAATAGGATGTTCTTGGGGGTTTTGTTGTTGTTTTATTGTCATTTTGTCTGTGCCTGCTGGTGATTCCAGCACAGCCCAGGGTATACGGGAGATGAAAAGGAAACTTAGAAAACTTACCATGTTGCTGTTTCTCAAGTCCTGAGGTTTCTTGCAAGTAGACCTTCTTTTCTGCTAGCTTTCAGAGTTCTTTATCATCGTCTGCTGAATAGTTTCCAAGGTACTTAGCTGTATTTAGAGGAGCAGAGCGGGGAAAAATGAGTTTAATCATCTTGTTCCAGAACTGGAAGTCGGCAGAGCCTGTTTTAAAAATAATGTTTAAAACAAATTTTATTTCCTGGGTGATTTTCCAGAAAGCAGAAAAAGTACTATCAATGGCACTTCCTGTAATAAAAACTACACCCTATGCTTTCTTGGAAGGAATCAATTGCGTTATTCAACAGTCATCTTCCTCTGAACCTGCTCTGCATTTAGTCAACAGGATATTGAATTCCTTTTAAAAACCTAAACAGGTTATCACTTCTTTCCTGAACCAAAAGTTGATTGGTAATGTAAATACTTATCTGTAACACAGAAAACTGTGTTTTCTTTGAGCTCTTCCTATTCCGTATCCCTTGTCTTGAATGAGGAGGTTTTCCTTTGGCACCGAAAGGTTACAGCTACATTTATCTACAAATAAACTACCATAGAAGAACTGGAACTTTCCTAATTATCAAAGTTTAGCTGCACTAATAAAGCCTTCTTATATCTGTGTTCTACTCGTTTCTTGTCTTGGACCCTTGCCTGACACAGATAGGATGGGCTTTCAGCCCAGTGACTCACGGGAAACTACTATATTAAAAACTTGGAGCTAATGTTTTAAATTAACCAGAAAAAAACACAAAAGGCAGAATACTGCACCAACAGATAGAGCCCTACCCCTTTATAAAAGGAAAAAAAAAATACTACCTTCTATACACTTTCCTTCACCACAGATATAATCCTCTGGTTTTCTCTCAAGTAACCAGAGAGTGGACCCTCCCCCAAAACACACGTTCAATTTGTTAAATCTCTTTTGTCTTAAAGATATAGCTCAGGAAAAAGTAGACTGCACTTAACATGATTTATGTCATTCTTTTTTTGTGTGCCTTATATGATATATCATGACTTGGAAAACTCCTATAAATATGTAAAATATTAGAATGTATAGGCAAAAAATGGTCAGTTTACATTATTTTTGGCTTGTCTCAGTACAAAGACTAATGAGGTAAAATTGAATATTTATATTCTTAAGATAAAATTGAATGTTCTAATGTGAAGTAACACATTTTCAAGTACATTGTTTTTTCTGAAATCCCTTTATCACCACTAACTCTATCTTTAAAAAAAAAAAAAAGCTCACAACATGTACCATTTTCTGGCTCTACATGAAAAGTTTATTGCTTGAGTGCAAGGTTAAAAAGAAGCCAGTAAGTTAACATGTTATATTTGACATGGGAGCTGTTCACTGCAAATTTTAAGAAAAGCCAGAAAAGTCATGTACAGGCAACCAACCAGAGTGTTAAAATGACTTTTTTTTTTTAATTGTTAAAAAATCTGTATAGAAGTACTTTTTTTTAAATTTGTAAAAGTGGAAGCAATTTGAGTCACTTTAATTTACAGCATGAATGGAAGACTCTCGGAGTCATCTATAACCTCAGCAGAAAATGTGATTATAAAAGTTTACAAAAACCCCAATTCGCCAGAGAGCTATGAAATGAGCAGGGTGCAGAGCATATTCTATCAGTCTCTTGAAATATTATTTGCCCTCTTAACTGATAAGGCAATGGAGGAAGAAAGTAAGAATATAATAAAAATATGAAAAAGTGACTACCTTTGCCTGCCTTCAACAAACCTAACTTTAAATATGATAAGAATAATGAACAAATCAGCAACAAATAAAACAGCGTTTTCCCTAGTTTCTTTTGAAGTGAATCTCCCTTTACTTTTTTTAAATTTTTGGGGATCCTACAAATTAAGGCTTCCTTGGAAATGAATGCGTTTTTTATAATTTCAAGACTCAAAAGATAAACAAAGCAGTCTGTTTTTCTTCTCTCACCCACCCCAACCCTGTAAATAACCCCAGGCCACAGCCTGGGTCTCCCTCTGTTCTTTACGTCTATCAGGGGCTTTAGAGCTGGGGAGGTCAGTAGGGGAAGGATGGGGAGAGGGGGAGGTGGGAAAAGGAGGAAGAAAGGGAGAATAAGTGGGGCGGGCTCATCTCAGAGTGAACCCCGGCTGTAGCTGCGTGCAGGATGTCACACGCATGCCTGCACACGCAAAATGTACACAGTGAAACCAGGCAATAGAACTATTAAAAAAAAAAAAGACTGAAAGAAAGAAAGAAAATGTACTGCTACATCAGCTAAAAACAGTCATGTTCTTTCCTGGTTTGATGTCAGCTCCCAGTACTGGCTTGGAATTGCCCACAGCAATATTGGGCCCCTGCCCACTCAGCAGGCAGACAGCCTTCCCTGCCAGCAACAGGCTTTTAATAAAACAGGATGCTGTCCCACTACTAAGGCCCAGCCTGAGAATGGATCCCAGTCCATGTGAACTCCCTCTCCAAGAAACAGCAGTTCTGTGTTCCTTATCAGGAAACCCCGCTTTGGCGTTCCTGGCCTGGGAGAAAGGCCCCTCTCCCAGGGGCTTGCTCAGCAAGTGTTTGCAGGCAGCCGCTGGCCCCTGGAGCTGTCTGCTCTGCAAGGTTCTCACCACCGTGAGCTTGCTCCCGCAGGGACTTCTAATTCTGTGCGTGCATTTCAGCTTTGAGGAAGGCTCTGTCTGACTCCGACAGTCAAGCAGGATGGGATTTAAAATAAGGAGCTGGCTTCCACAGGCAGGATGAGGACGTTTCGCCTCTGTTCCTGCAGCAAGCCCCAATGAGTCATGCCAGGACTGCACTTGAACTGACTTCTCGTCTTAAGTGTGAGGAGTTTTATCATTTTGGGGAGGCTCACCCGTCTATTTGTTTACTTCTCATTTGGAATGAAATGGAGTATGTTCCATTTGGAGCAGCAATTTCTAATTTTTTTCCAGCTGCAGTTTGACAAAAAGTCCAAACTGAGGAGTGAGATTCCACGGCACCTTCCAAACCCTGGGGCTCTGTGACTGCAGAGGCCGGGACCACCCTTCCTTGGCTGTATACCACCCTCTTGTCCTAGGGAAGAAGAACTGTGATTCTGAAAGTTGTCCCAGAGGACTAGCCCCAGTCCCACAGGCACCAGCAGGATCCCTTTCATGCCACACCGTCGTGTACAGAGGTGGCCGAGTATAGCACTGACATCACAGACCGGGAGACACACATGCCGTCAGGAAGCGGACATAGATGACATCCTATGACAGTGAATTCCAGTGGGAAGAGAAGTCATTGTTGTTGATAGAGAAGGCTGGACAACCTGGATTCTACCCCCAAATCTGCCCTGGCTTCCTGTGTGTCCTTAGACAACATGATAGATGTGTGACTCAGTGTCCCCATTTTGTAAAGTACACAGCAGGTTGTTGGAGGACAGGCAAACAACCAGCTCATATGCTGTCACTCTCCCTTCCCCTATCCACACAGACACTAGGAATCACTCCCAGCACTTTTCTTCCTGTGCCCAGATGTGACAACTCAGTCAGCCACAGCCAAACGATCAGAGACAGCACCGGAGCGAAGGCTGGTGATGGTTTCTAAGGCTTCTTCCAACTCTGATCAGCCATAAGTCCCAGTCTAAGCCCAATACATTTCTGTTTACTTTGAAGTTCTGGGGAGGAAATTGGAGGAATTGGTGTTACAGGTGGTGTTTTCATTCCTTCTCTCACTTGAAGTTTGTGAGTTTGGAAAAGAAAAGGAGAAAGAGGAAGTATATGGAGGGAACATCTGGGCATGTAGATGGTGTCACAGTGGAGAATTTTGTCTCCTGGACTGCAGCCCAGATCCACCTCAGAACAGCGGGGGCCTGGCAGGAAGCAGGATGTGCTGGCCCAAAGCTGGGAAGAGCATGCTGCAGGAGGCCAGCCTGTGAGAACAGAAAAAGTGCAATCGGTAACTTCAGAAGGAAGAGTGAAAAGAGCCCAAGTAAATCTACACAGCCAGGCAAGATGAAGCACAGCATAGGAATATGAGCTAGGACTCTTGAAAGCAGAAGGAATGTCTCTTGCTGACTCAAGCAGAGAAGGGAATGAATTGGAAGCTATGAAGGAGCTTGTGAGGTCAACAGGGGTGCTGGATTCTGAGCTGGAGAACCAGGTTCAACCGGGACAAGAGTGTGCCACCATCAAGCGCCTCTGCAGGGAACAAACAGCCTGCTGTCCCTCCTCCTGAGACCACTCAGCTCAGCTCAGCTCAGGACCTCCCTGGGGCAAGGGAGGAAACACTGTGGACACCTTTCCACTTTCACGCAGGGGGAAAAGCACCGGATTTACCATGAAGACGGTGCCCAGTGAGAGAGCTAGTGCCACAAAAGGACATCGAATTGGGGAAAGAAGAGGCAGTGGATTGATTCCAGGCTGCTGAAAAAGCAATGCCCAGCACTGTGTATAACACAGAGGTGTCACACACAACCACAGCAAGTAACCAGACTAGGTCAAGAGTCAGAGAAGTTAGCAAGCAAACATAAAATCCAGTCCAGCAGGACTGCGGGACAAAGTTAGGAGTAACTCCAAGGTCAGTTGCCAGGTGTGGGAACCCATATGGGAGGCTCGGTGAGGTCAGAGGGTAAAGACAAGGCGGATTAATTACCAGCTCTCAGGAGCGAGCTGAGTGGAGCACATGGAGGAGTGCAGAGGATGTCACAGACAAGAGTCAAGGTCAGGAATGTCCAGACCGAGATGAATGAGGGAGTAAAAGCAGGCACCTGTGCACAGGGCTCGGGGTTACCCATCTCAATTCTGGTGGGGTCTCCCTTGATAGAAAAGAGCTGCACTGAAAGGCCAAGCTGCCCCTTAGCTACAGAGTGGAGGAGGTGTCCAGTTTGTGTCAGCAATATCACTAGCAGTCAGGAAGGCTCATGCGCTCTCTTCTCTGGGAAAGCAAGTCTTCCAAATTCAGTTTGGCAGAGCACCAGTTTGCTGGGATGGGAGCCAAACCTAAGCGCTGGGGTCCTGCTCCCCACCATGGCTCTGCCAAGCTGGAGGCTGCTGCTGTGCCACCTCCTCCTTCCACACAGAGCATCAGAGGAGCCAGATGGACAGATTCTGAGTCCTGGAGACATTACCAGGGATGTGAA